ATATATTTATAAAATTAAAAGTAAATGCTGTGCAATCACTCCCAGGCTATAGATGTCAGCTTTGGTTGTGTACCGGCGCTGATGTGCTTCGGAAACAATATATTGTTCTGTAGGGTATATTTAGTTCTTGCTATAATTGATGTTATGAATATGAGATTATCAGATAACTAGAAGTAAATACCAATAAATAAATTATAAATTCAAATGTCTTGTAAAAATATTTTTATTTAAAACATGTGTTAAATTATGGTGAAATATTTTGGGTTAAACTTTAAAAAAATATTCAAAATTTTCAAAATATAATTTTTAATAATTATGTTGGTTATAGACTAGGCAAACCGTTCGGATGCTTTTTGGATGCTTTTTGCATAGTTTTGGGCACAATAATGACTATTACAACTATTTGTTCATTTTAAAGCATAAGTTTGTTACTATATGTTAAGATTCTCTGACTAATTCATGGATTTTGTTTAGTCTGCATATCAAATGACTCATTTTGCGGTTTCCCTATTATAGACTTATTGAATATTGACAATCTTACTATAACAGATATTGTCCAAGCAAAAACTAATCATATTAAATTATTTTTATTTGGTTGTATTATAAGCTTTATTGCAATAAATCTTTAATTTTAAAGTTTTTCGTACATGATAATAGATGGATTATTTATTATATTTCGGTAATTTTTGAACAGAAACATCTCTGGACCAAAATACTTTTACTGCATTAATTAAATAACAAAACTGCACATTGTTGTTTAAAAAATATGTGCATATATTTACTTGTTTAACCCATATTTCACACGCATTTTTATGCGGTACGTTTAAAAATGCGGACCGCTTGATTGCGGGGCCGTACCTCACCCGCCGGGACCATAAACTTTAAAATTTGATCTTGAAAACTCGGCTGACTGTCCTCGTCTGTATTGCCTGTATATCCGTGATGGCTAAATGTGACATCTGACCAGGTGGATTTAGGACACAATACTCTGGGTTCGACCTGGTTTGGTAACTGCACATATATAAAACCTATCGGCAAATGACACTCGGTTTCGATTTGGCTCATTCTCGCTACCCACTTGTCTATCATCCGGCGATTGTCCCTGATTAAACGCTCGGTACGCTGGTCCGACCACATTACTACACGCTTACACATGTACGCATTTTTCTTTGCGCAATTTACATCTTGCCATTTGCCCATGGTGGCTGTGGTCAAGCTATTAGTGTTATCTGTGATCATTTCGACGCAAATGCTATTGTTTACGGGTCGGCCGTAGACCCAGTTATCGTATTCAGCGTAAGTACTGTCTGTCCATACAATGTGTTTGCCTTTAATGGTCGCGTCGAGCCATACGCTGTCAATCATTTTGTATTTTACTATCAATTTGTTGATAAAGTCCTGCTCTGACTTTGAGTTAATTGTCGGAAGTGATGAGTCATTTTCTGACCGACACGCTGTGACCACAGTCTGGTAGTCGGCTAACCCTTCCGTGAAATACTTATAGCATATATCGTAGTATTTGTCGTTAAATTGGTCCCAACCGTCACCGCAAACGCCCTCCGAATCAACTATGTCACCTAAATAAATATAGTAAATTGTTATAATAATAGGATGCAATTTTAGAAAAATTTGTTATTTTTATAGTTATTTAATAAAATGTATGCATACATGTAAGATATGAAACCAAAATTGCTAAATATATCATAAACATTTTTTATTTTTAATAATTATTTGTGAATATAAAATAGTTATTAAAATAATAATAATTATTGTGTTTTTATTAATTCTATTTATACTATTTATTTATCATAGATATTAAATCCATATTATATGATGATTTAAATTTGACAGATGTTACAAGTCTAGTCAACAATTTATTAAATTAATGGCATTACAACATCTCAAAGGGATATTAATCATGATAAATGAAATTCATTATATTCTGACAATATTTACCGTTTATTATTTGAGATAAAATGCTTAGTTTTTAAATTCAAATATTATGTCATAAAATTAACAATAACAATATAACAATCTATTGATATAAAATAAATTTATTCAATAGTTATTAACAAGTGTTAAGATATAAATAGGTATCACATTTTTCAAGTCAACAAATTTTATAAATAACTTTCGTTAATTAATGTACAAATATTTAAAATTATTGTTGATATTAAATAAAATTATTTAATAAATCACTATTATTTTAATAAAATTATAATCCACGTTGATACTTTTCTTTGAGTACTTTGTTTACGCATAAATATTCATAGTTATCATAATTATTGTTATGAGATTCATTAGCTCATAAATAATATGTTTACTGTCAAAAGGTTGTGAATCAAAAGGTTTAGTTTGTTGTAATCGGAGTGAACTCAAGCACTGACTGTCAAAGTAATAAGATTTGAAGCGTCGATAGTATACCTGTCCTTAACTTAGGACTAAATAAGACTAAGAATATCCCCAATCAGTTCAATACTGGCCGTACGGATCGTAACAAACTAACAAATGAAAATATTAAGCAAGAATTTTTCTATAAAATTTTTACAACCATAATGAACATTTTATAATTATCCTTAAATTAATTATTGTATTATAATTATAAATAATAAAGAAAAATAACAATTTATTGCTATTACAATTTTTCCATTAATGTATAAATAGCAACTAATTATTATTTGCATTATTCTAAAAATTACTGATATTGTTAGATATTAGATAATTATAAGTTACTTTGTATTATAATTCTGTTTATGTGTATAAATGCAATCATTTTTAGTCAACATTATACCTCGTATTGTTTTAAACATTATAGCTAAGAATAATTGTGTAATCAAAATTGATAAAGTATTACCCGATTGTCTGGTTATAACCCGCGCCGGTACTCATCCGTATATTATTGATATCTCGTTATACAAACTTTTCAATAGATATCCCATATTTATTGTATAAATGTAATTGAGAGTACAAATAAACGAAACTATTTATATTATTATTATAGATTGTTTAATTTAAATATAAAAACAGTAATGATATAATATTAGTATAATTATGAACATCATTAAAGAGTAATAAAATATAACTATTAACTATTAGCATGAGTGGGATAAATGAGAGAAAAAGTAATTTTACTATGACGTGGTTACTATACTTTAGGCCTGTCAGGCCTATAAAAAACCGTGATGACTATTAGCAATTAACCTAACATAAAACATTTCTAACTAAAACCAATTTATAATTGAGTTGTAATTATGTTAATGTAATAAATAAAAATACCTTTACTTTATGTACAGTTAATGAATACAATATTTAATGTCACACAAGTTTTACAGAACACTGTATTTAGAACATAATAAAACATGGCCAATAACATGGTCAATCTTATCAAAAGTGATAAAGTATTACCCGATTGTCTGGTGATAGCCCGCGCCGGTACTCATCCCTATAGTATCGGTCTCTCGCTATGCAAACCAATCAACGCTCACAATAGACAACTTATTACTAATCCATACGTAATGTTTGCCATAATGTTAACGTGTTTTTGGCGAGAATTAATATTAACTATGATTAATGACCCAAACCCTCACTTTAATGCAATTATGGGATCCTTCATATATTTCTACAACCAAAGAATTCCGGCGACAATAGTGTTTGTAAATATACTTTTGATTGCAATCTTAGCTCAAATACTTGAATTTTACAATTATAAATATGAGGTAAAACCAACGTATTTACGTATATTTCAAATGCTATCCGGTTTAATAACGCCCAGAGATGTGGGTATTTATAACAAAACACTTGTTTATAAATTGGTTTTGTTTAGTCAAAAGTCGATTAGATTCGCGGAAATTATGACATTTTCTTTTAAAATAGTTTTATTTTTGGGCATATTTTTAATTTATTGCTTCCATATGTCTGTCTATGAGTTATTGTTTATAGGATTAGCACAAAGTATTTTGATCACAATTTATGGCAGTTTTGTAAACCACTTGATTGTCTGGCAATTAATATATTTTACAATTATTGTCTATTATTTATCCTTAAAATTCATGTCAATTAATCAAATGTTTTGTAAAAATAATTCAAAAAAGAAATACAAAAATTCAATACAAATTCTTCATAAATTAAACGATTTATTTCTTGAAATTACTGAATACAACACTAATTATTGGTCAAAGTTTTTAGCAATTTATTGGCTACTAATTAGCGGTTCATTGAGTTCTTTAATGTATCTGTCATTCCATAAAAATGTACCATATTTTATGTTAATTATTACATTATTTGTTACTTTTGAATTCTTGTTAACCTTATTAATTATAATACAATTTTCATCAATGATTTGCACGCAAACAAAAATGTCGAATATTTGTTTGAATTCATATATAACTAATGGATGTAAAAATTTGATTATAAAATTAAAGGTAAATTTGTTTATAATTAACATTTCTATCATTGGTTACAAATTGCTTAATAATTTTATATTATTCATATAGATGTTAACAATGATTGAAAGGTTGCGTCAAAATAGGGTTGGATTTTATTGTTGGAAATTATTTCGTATCAATAGATTTCAAGGATATAAAGTTAGTATACATTTAATTATTTATATTGAATATAAATTTTATAAATTTATTTATTTTACAGATTCTATGCTTAATTTGTTTACTCTATTTAAAATTATTAAAATACTTTAAATAAATTATTTATTGGTATACTTGATATATGTTAGTCCTTAGGTACTTCTAGTGTAGCTAGGATATTGAAATTAATTTTATAAATTAAGTTAACATTCCTAGGCACCAGAAACCAAGTTTCATAAAGATCGGTTGACTTGTCTTTATACTGGAAATTTTTAAAATGTGTCGGTCAGATATATTTTTTAAAATTTAGCCCAAAATATTCTACCAAAAATGAACATGTTTTTGGAATGAAAATATTTTTACAATAGATATGTTTAGAGTTATGATTTGGTTATTGGTGTTCACCATTGATTACCCGACAACAGTTTAGAGCAGTTATCACGACATTAATTATAACGGGAATCAAATGCGAACCGACCGAACACAGGCCGCCAATCGGGTCGACTACCGATAATGAAGTGGCCACAGTTTAGGCATGGGTTAGAGTTGGACATTGAATATGATATGATTCTATACATTAGATATTGACGATATAGGAAGAGTAGGGATTTTCTATTATCTCTATTAATGTTTGAGCATGCTCAATTTACATGCGATTTCAACCGTCGGTAATCATAAAAACATACACCTTCCCATAGGAATACATTATTTTGCCTGACTTGGTTTAAAAATTTCCCGTATAAAGACCAATGATCCTATCTTTATGAAACTTGGTTTCTGGTGCCTAGGAATGTTGACGTAAATTATAAAATTAATTTCGTTAAAATATCTCTATTAAATCTATACGAAGTTTAACATATATCAAGTGACCCAATAAATAAAGCATGAGATGTCAATAATTTAAATTAATATATTTTATTTTAAAAACATGATTTTTGACTAAAACATTTGCCACAAAATTAATTATTTCTATTTAAATAAACACAACATTTCTTTCAAAATAACATTTACTTATTGTAAAATTGTTATGAATTTGTTTTACACAATAAAACCTCATAGAAAAATGCATTGTCTTTAGATTGAAGTATATTTAGTATTGCATTGAATTCCTTATGATTAGTGATAATAGACTTATTGATAGACCAGTCGTTGTATTCCTGTAGCACTCGACCACTGGTCGGGCGACTGTCTGATAAAAATTCAACCATTGCTCCAAGAATTTGATAAAATGTATTAAAATTAGTTTCAAATGTTGTGACACTATATTTTTGTATTGGGGTTTCACTAAACAAAACAAAATCAATTAAAAAATATTTTTGAATAAACATTGAAATGTCATACATATTGTATAAATCAAACAAATGCTGTGCAATCACTCCCAGGCTATAAATGTCTGCTTTGGTTGTGTACCGGCGCTGATGTGCTTCGGGAGCCATGTATTGTGAAGTCCCGACATTAGACGTGTGGCTCATGGATGGCATGTCGTGATCGGTGGCCAAACCAAAGTCACACACTTTTACCCATCGATTGGATCTAATGTTGCGTTTAATCAATATATTGTCGGTTTTGAGATCCCGATGAATGAGTGGAGGATTGGATTCGTGAAGATATTCAACACATTCTAAGAGCTCTTTGAATATTTCACATGAAATGAAATATTCAAAGATATTCATCGCTTCTTCCGGTTGTCTCTCGAAGACAATGGGTTTGTCTTTGAGAACAGATTTAAGACTTTGCGAACAGAACTCCATTTGAATGTAAAGATAATGGGATTCAGTCCACGAGTGGTAATACTTGGCCACATATTCTGAGTCCAGTTTTGCCAAATTTTGCACTTCATTAAAGACATGGTTTTTCTTTTCTTTGTTAAAATCTATTAGAAATTAATAATCATATTTGAAAACATTAATATAAGTATAAAAATATGTTTAATTACTTTTAAATACTACTCTTTTAACGGCATATATCTTATCATCCAATCTATGCTTTACTTTGAATACAGTCCCAAAACCACCCGAACCTATGGCTGACATCTCATGGAAATACTTGTTATAAATACTATTACTTGAATTGTAATTATTATTATTAACACTTTTATCAGATTTATTAATTTGTTTTAATTCAATTGTATTATAAGTTAATTTGTAAAATTCCGCGTAAAAGTCAATGAAATTATTAAAATGTATTAAAATTATTTCATTTTCTTTAGATATTTTATACAACTTATCGTTTATTAAAACCGTTATTAAGTGGTAATCAATTGTATAGTGAATATCGGAATTGATTTGTTGTAAATCTTGAAAACAATATTCAGTTAGTATTTGTTTTGGACTTTTTTCAATTAATTTCTTATTATTTTTATAATATTTGCCACAAAAATATAACAATCCGTCAGATGTCAGAAAATATGTGCCAAAACCGCTACAACTGATCGCTTTTACTTCAATTATGTTTTCAATTAATCGGGGTTTAAATACTTGAGTACCCATTATATTGTGTCCCAATTTATGGTCCCTATTGTCGCCCCAACTGAAAACCTGTCCATCGGTTGTGATGGCAAACGATGAGTTGTGATAACAGTAAATGTATTGTATTTTACAATCAACATTAAATTCAACCATGGTGCAAACAAATTCACTGCCATCACCGCAACCAATTTGGCCCCAATTATTCCAACCCCAGGCATACACCCGGCCGTCATCGGTGAGCGCCAGTGTATGTCTTGAACCACATTTTATCTGGGTAATATTTCTATAGTTTATATATAATATTAATTCCGGTTCTATAAATTCAACATTTTGATCAAACATGGTTAGTATATCAGATTTGTGCACCATGCTCAATTGGCCCCAACTATTATCGCCAAATCCATAAATACTGTTTATGTCAGTCACTGCTAATACAAAATCCAATCCATTGACAAAGTATTGTATGTTTTGATTACATAATTGTGGTATCAGTTCTGGTGATGGTATGGGACTGTTGTGTCCAAAACCCAGACATCCCTTACTATTATTGCCAAAACCATAGACCAGATCATCGGATGTTACAAATAAAACATTTATTTTATTGTTTTTATTGTAGAAAACGTGTAGTTTTGCAATATTTTCTTTTAAATTTAATGGTATTTTATCACAAATTTGTAATTTATTTAATAAGTCACACATTTTGAAATAATTATTAAAATATTAATATTTAAAACAAGTATTATAATATTTATTTGTAATACACTTTTAATGACAATTATAATAAACAATGAAAACAATTGTCATTATATAGTTGTTAAAGAATTTCATGTAAAAATATGATAATAACTATAGTTGTAAATAAATGTGTATTTTTATGATAAACAACTATAAATAAGTGATACTATAGTTTACAATTATTACTTAAGTAATGCAAATATATGTTGGGAAATAAACGTTATTGCTAAAATTTTGTTTCATATTGCTATATTATTAATATCTATTGAATACATTATAAAAGTAAGTGGATTTAAATTATTATTTTAGTAATAAATATATTTACTAACAATTAATTCTTGGAACTAACAATATTGTAAGATATATAGTTAATAAATAAATATTATTTCCGTAGCTATTATAATAAAATATGATATTTTAATCCATGTCAATTAATATATGTGAGATGGATTACTGCAACAAACATGACTAATCTATTTATTAATAATGATAATAATGAAATTATTAATTATTAAATGTGTTTATCTAAAAATTATAATGCTATTATTAAAATTATATTAATATTAATCGTCCGATATATTAATCCAATATAAAGTGATAATCCAATATATCCTTTATAATCTGATATGTTAAAACAAAACAAATATATTTGATTAATAATATAAAATTAATTTAAAGTAATTGTTATTTTAACACATATTTAAAACACATGTTATGACAGCAAATCTAAACAACAAATGTTTTACAAATATAATTACAAACATTATAAATATAAATATTCAAATAGTTTTACATTTAACTATTAAGTTATTATTAACATTTAGATTAACTGGTTACCGATATACTACCGACATGAAGATACAACGTTTACCAACATTAATATTTGTGTGTATAAGTGGTGTATTTATATTCATAGGCAGTATTATCATAAACATTATACAATTAATAATATATTTAACAATACGTTATCTAAACATACATTTATATCGTTTAATCAACTCACACCTTGAATACTATGTTATATCACGTAAGTATTTTGTTAAATACCATGTAAAATCGGGAGTATGACATCAGCTCGAAAGACATCAGCTCGAAAGACACTAGCTCGAAAGTCAAAATCTCGAAAGACACCAGCTCGAAAGACATCAGCTTGAAAATGATTAAATTAATTTTATAGGAGGTTTAATATGTATTTCATTATTACCTTAATTACTAAATTTAATAGAGATATAAATACAGCAAATATGAAAAATACAGAATTAGATAATGAGCAAAAATTGTAAAATATTATTAATTCACGCAATAATTTTAATTAATATAATTACCTTAATGCAATTGCTTATAGAATTACTTTTTAATTACAATATAAAATTGTTTATAAACTAAAAATATATAACTAAAAATGTATAACTAAAAATATTATATAAAAATTATGATAATAATGAAATCTCATATTAAACATGATGTAAAATCAATTTAATCATATTTGAGCTGATGTCTTTCGAGCTGGTGTCTTCGAGCTCATGTCTTCGAGCTCATGTCTTCGAGCTCGTGACTTTCGAGCTCATGGTTTTTGAGCTAGTGTCTTTCGAGCTCATGACTTTCGAGCTGATGTCTTTCGAGCTCGTGTCTTTCGAGATATTGACTTTCGAGCTAGTGTCTTTCGAGCTCATGTCTTTTGAGTTCATGTCTACGTCCCGTAAAATCTATCATCACCATCATCCATCACTACTCAATATTAACTATCTTAACTTTATTTAAGTTATAATTTAAACTATAATTTAATGTTTAATTATTAAATAAACTTTATTTCACACTAGCCTTATCAGGAATTTTAACTATGTTAAAAAACTACAAAAATAAAGCTAAAACTACCATAATTCAATACTCTAGAACTATTAGCCGTAATTGAATGGTGGTCGCGGAGCACAATCACCATATATTTCCCGGACGACCAGAGTAGGCACGGGTGGGGTCGGGAGTCAGCCATACTGTTATCCAATCATCGGTACGAAATTGACTCCTTAGCCCTACTACAGGCCGCGTACGCCATAGAGTGCCCACATGTCAAGTACTTTATCAAACGCGAGTTCCGATTCGTGCCAGTGATAGGGTGGACACTTGCGTTCGGCGAATCTATATTCCTGGACCGGGACTGGCGGCGGGACTCGCGTACCATTGGACCCGCGTTGGGCCAACTCTGGCAACACAGGCGCCCAGTTATGGTAGCGTTAACAGCGGAGGGCACACGATATACACCAGATAAATACAAGGCTAGTCAGAGGTGGGCCCAGGAAAAGAACCTCCCGGTGCGCTATAAGCATCATTTGATTCCCCGGGTAAAGGGCTTTGTGCTTATGGTCAGGTATTTGAAAACTAACTGTAAGTATAAGACGTGACTTTGAGGGTAGATAATGAAGTTATTATAACAAGGTTGTTACATAAATAACGTGTTATGTAATAAATAATGTTTTAGATCCAAACGCAGCCGTGTATAACATCAAGTTTGCATTCGATGAGACTAAAGTGACGCCCAGTTTGTTAAACTATATACAGGGTGTTCCCCAACACTGTTCGCTATACGTTAAGCGAATACCAATCGATTCCATACCTAGCGATAATGATCAACACGTCGAGCAGTTTATGTACGGACTTTTCACTGTAAAGGTAGTGTATTGTATTTATTTGGATACACCTTGTATGTATTTTTATTATTTTGTGCAACTTTTTATATAACAGGACAAATTAATGGATCACTATATCCGACATAAAACATTCCCGGGCACACCTGTACACTATCAGCCCTGTCATACGGCCCTATTGTTATTTATAATAAATTTTATGTGTGTTGGCACACCTATACTATATATGATTTATCGAGTGCTAACAACTGGTAGTTATGCTCTGATTTTATGCATTATATTGTTAATAATTTTAGGTAATATTTAATATAAGCTTGATTATATCTATTGGGTATTAATGAACATGTTTAATTTTCTACGAAAGCGCTTTTTGGCTTAAATAAAGTCATTCGGTCCATACAGATATCAAACGCCTCATCGTATGGCAAACGTGCCTCAAATAAACATTGATCAAGCTAATTTTATTATAACAAGATTATTTAATTAGTGTATAATGTATAATATATAACGAGCTAATAAATAATGATTACACAGAATAACAATTGCTTAATTATCCTTCTGGATTTGCAAGAATTTAAATATTCAAAGTAGCTGTTATGGATATATTTTATATTGATTAAATTAAACACATCTTAATTGAAAATCGTATTTTTCCTTGTTATAATTTAATATTAATGCAATTGGGTAATTTTATTATTTTAATAAAACAATATAAATGTTATTTTTAGTCATTAATTCTGTACGTTTTATTGGCTATTAATTATGTATAATATTAACTTGAATTAAAAAATATGTGACAAATTTTATGAAATTTTTAAGTGTATAACTTCTAATAAAACTATTGAGATTAAACCCAAATAACAATATAATTAATAGTAGGAGTTCCCAGATAACTTATAATTCAATGTAAACTCATGCAAGTTTACAAAGTAAAAATAAACATAAATCGCAACTAGGACACTCTTTAATTTAATAGCAATAAAACAAATTAATATTTAATTTTTAAAATATAATTAAGATATTGTTATAACCATTTTAAATTGTAATAATATAAATAAATTATCTTTAGTGTAATATTCATATTATATTTGTATTATTGTCAATAATTTATTAATATAATACTAGCATATACCCGTCCAGTAACCATTATATTTTAAACAATTACATGACCCTGTTTCCTAAAACCTACGCTGCCCACCCATACCTGCATACCTAACCTAACCTAACTTAGCCTAACTTAACCTAAACCAACTTAATATAACTTAAACCATATAAATTGAGAGTTAAACTTGCTTATGGAAGGGTTGGGTTAGTTTCCCGAGGCGTTTGTTATAATTGGTAGTCATAGGTACATTGCCCGTGGCGTTGGTTATGCCTGGGAGAAGTGGGTACTTTACTCGAGACGTTGGTTATCACTGGTACCCGTGGGTTTATTGGGCAGGTCATTTTTATAGCCTTGTACCCATTAGCACATTGTCCGTGATGTTGGTTATACCTGGTACCCATAGGTACACTAACCGTGGCGTTGGTTATGCCTGATACTCATAAGTACATTACCCGGGGCGTTGGTTATACTTGGTACTCATGGGTACCGCGTTAGTACAATAGGTAAGGCATAAATATTTACAGGTAAAAGCAGTGAGAGATGCATTGGTACAATGGGGGTGGACT